ATTTCAAGCGCTAGAAGAAAAATAATATAGCAATACGCAGCAAATTCATTTGTTCAATATTATTCGTCCATATTTGATTCAAAATCCATCAATTTTGGTAAATCATGTAACATTATAGCTAATTTGTAGATTTTTCATGTTGAAAAATGAAAAGTTAAAAAAAATTTCAATAATTTGTAAGGAGTTAGATTACTCTTCTTATTGTCAATTGATTTTAAGATAGAATTTCAAATACTTTTAAGGTGTTACTGTAGACATCGAAATTTCGTAAATAAATGTTGACCGGTAAATCAAAGTGTCAACGCTCATGTATTACATAAATTTTACACGTAGCGTGTGACTCAACGAAAATTGAAATGAGTTGGAAAAGTCATCAAATAGGACACGTGTCAACACCTGGCAGAAACGACTTATTTCATCTGGGATATTATATTCAAAATTAGGCCTTGGAAAATTCTATAAATACAAGCCTATTTCATTCATTTTAAAGAAACCAATTCACATTACACCTTAAAGCTCGGAAGCTCTGAAGCTCTGAAACTCCGAAGCTTTCAAGCATCCAGGTTTCCGAAGAATCAAGAAAGCCTTCTTCGTTCTTCGTTCATCGTTCTTCCAAGATCAAGCCCCGACGGCCCTTGGATCAACAATCATCCACCTTCAAGCCCAAGCCTCAACAGCCCCTTGGAGAAAGTGTTCATCGTTCATCAACTGTTCATCCTCAAGGATCAAGCCCCAACGGCCCCTTTGGATTGACAACATCAACGAATCCGCTCATCTCTGTTCATCAAGTCCAAGCCTCGACGGCCCTTGAAGAAAGCGTTCATCGTTCATCACCGTTCTTCGAGATCAAGCCCAAAAGCCCTCGAAGATCCGTTCAAGCCCAAAAGCTCTCGAAGATCCGTTCGTCACTGTTCTTCGAGTTCAAGCCCAAAAGCCCTCGGAAATCCATTCATCAACTGTTCATCCTCAAGGATCAAGCCCCAACGGCCCCTTTGGATTGACAACATCAACGAATCCGCTCATCTCTGTTCATCAAGTCCAAGCCTCGACGGCCCTTGAAGAAAGCGTTCATCGTTCATCACCGTTCTTCGAGATCAAGCCCAAAAGCCCTCGAAGATCCGTTCAAGCCCAAAAGCTCTCGAAGATCCGTTCGTCACTGTTCTTCGAGTTTCAAGCCCAAAAGCCCTCGGAAATCCATTCATCACTGTTCTTCAAGATCAAGCCCAAAAGCCTTTGAAGATCCGTCAATCACCATTCTTCAAGATCAAGCCCAAAAGCCCTTGAAGATCCGTTCATCCTCGTTCATCCAAGATCAAGCCTCGACGGCCCTTGGATCAATCGCACATCCCACAAATCAACACCTTACGGAGATCGAATCAGAGGATCAAAATAGAGAGAGATTGTAACCCAAAACTATCAAATACAAATATTTGTTTGTGCACGTTGTTCTTGTCTCTTTCGTTTCAGGAATTTTCCGTGTTCACAAATTTTGAAGATCCGTCAATCACCATTCTTCAAGATCAAGCCCAAAAGCCCTTGAAGATCCGTTCATCCTCGTTCATCCAAGATCAAGCCTCGACGGCCCTTGGATCAATCGCACATCCCACAAATCAACACCTTACGGAGATCGAATCAGAGGATCAAAATAGAGAGAGATTGTAACCCAAAACTATCAAATACAAATATTTGTTTGTGCACGTCGTTGTTCTTGTCTCTTTCGTTTCAGGAATTTTCCGTGTTCACAAATTGGCACGCCCGGTGGGACCATCTCTGCCTCTCATCTCTTTCTCCGAAATTCAAGCGCACTTCGAAAATTAATGGCATCAAGGAAGGCTCAAACTGTTCCCGCAACCGGCGCAAAGAACAAGAGCATCCTCGTCGCAAGTGGTGTCACTTTAGGCATCACGACTCGAAGCATGGCAAGAGCTACTTCTGCCGCCTCTTTCACCTCTGCATCAACTATGCCAAGGGAACAAAAGCACCCAAGGCACGAGCCTTTGATCACCTTAGCCTCGCTAAGGGCACCAAGGGGGGAAAGCCCAAGGAAATACTCCGAATCCATGCTCTCCGATGCCGATTCAAGCGACGGTTCAGCCATGCAAGTCATGACCATTGGAGCAACTTCAATCGATGAGCAGCTGGCTCAAATGAATGAAGCAATCGCAAGGCTAACCCGAACTGTGGAAGAAAAAGACTTGCAAATCGCTGCACTCGTCAGCCGACTGGAGCCACAGGACGACGAGAGAACCCTAACCCAGAAGATGAGCCTCAGGTGGAGAAAAACGATGCGAAGCCCGAGCCAGATCAAGCAGCGGCACTAATGGGATCTCTTTCTATCCAGCAGCTGCAAGAGATGATCACCAACACCATCAAGGCACAGTACGAAGGGAGCTTAAATACCTCCGAGTTGTACTCAAAGCCGTATTCAAAGAAGATCGACGCCTTAAGGATGCCGAGGGGCTATCAACCGCCGAAGTTTATGCAATTTGACGGAAAGGGAAACCCGAAGCAACATGTCGCACATTTCGTGGAAACCTGCAACAATGCAGGGACGGAGGGAGATTACCTCGCCAAGCAGTTTGTGCGCTCGTTAAAAGGAAACGCCTTTGAGTGGTACACGGACCTGGAGCCCGAGTCCATCAACAGCTGGGAGCAGTTAGAGCGAGAATTCCTCAACCGCTTCTATAGCACCCGCCGCACTGTGAGCATGCTAGAGCTAACGAGCACAAAGCAGTGGAAGGACGAGCCAGTCATTGACTACATCAACAGATGGCGCACTCTAAGCCCCGACTGCAAAGATAGGCTCTCGGAGACCTCTTCAATTGAGATGTGCATCCAGGGCATGCAATGGGGTTTGCAATACATTCTTCAAGGCATCAAACCACGGACCTTCGAAGAGCTAGCCACTCGCGCCCATGACATGGAGCTAAGCATCGCCCATCATGGGAAGAAGGAACCGATCGCCAACTACAAGAACGACAAAGTTCTTGAGACAAAGGTGGAGAAGGCTACGTGGAAATCCACAAAGGAAGCAATGACAGTCAACAAAGCTCCCGTCAAAATCCCTACACGAGGCAAGGCGATTCAAGCCGAAGGCTTTCGTGATCAAGAGATGCGTAGACGCACTTTGAAGGAGCTTGAGGAGAAAACTTATCCATTCCCCGACTCTGATGTGGTTGCCATGTTAGAAGACCTGTTGGACAAGAAGGTGATCAGTTTGCCTGAGTGCAGAAGGCCGGAAGAGATGAATCGTACCGACAACCCAAGATACTGTAAGTTCCACCGCTTCATCAGTCATCCAACGGAAAAGTGCTTCGTACTGAAAGATCTCATCCTAAAGCTAGCACAACAAGGGGAAATCGAGCTTGACCTCGAAGACACAGCTGCGGCACACACTACTACTATCGTGTTTGAATCACTCGATCCTGTGCATCTCCGAAGCATGCATGACCATTCCCGTCAATGTTCAAGTCACATGGCACCTCCTACACAACCATTACCGGGGGCAAGCAACCAAGATGCATCTACTGGTGATAAGAAAGGGTGGACATCGGTGACCTATAAAAAAATGAGGAAGCCAAGACCACAAGCCATAAGGCCAAAAGATGAGCCTAAACCCGCCCTTCGAACTTCAGTCTTCGAAAGGCTGAATTATTCAAAACCTAGAATTGCAGCACTTGATCGCATCAGTGGTCGAGACCAAACTTCCGTCTTCAAAAGGCTTGAGACGCCAACACCTCAAAGATCAGTCTTTGAAAGGTTATCAAAACCCAAGAAACAAAGCGGCACAGCTAGATCTCCTCCGCAACGGTCGGCTTTGGACAGACTTGAAGAAGCTAAGAAGCCTTCTAGAAACAGGAAGACAACACTAAAGGGAGAGAAGCCCGACAGTCTAGCAGGAAAAGACGATGTTCAAAGCTTGATTCCTTCAAGGATGAAGCGCCAAGCAACTTTGGAAGTCGACACAAAAGGACCACTAAAGGTAAGGAGGCGCACCATCATCTACACCGGCCAATCTTCACGGCAACAAACCCAAGAGGACCACACTGAAGAGAAGGCCCAAGAAGACAAAGAAGACGAAATCCTGGAAAAAGACGTCACTTCCGGCTCTGTCAACTCAAAATTTTCACCTCAATCGCTGGGGGCATGCTCCAAAAACATGCCAGTCAAGCCGAGTGAAGTTGAAGGATGGACTTATGTCACTCCGAAGAAATTGCACAAGAAGCATATGTCTTCTCCACAAGCTCACCAATGGGAAAGGGGGCAAAACAGCTTATGTTCACCTCTAGAACAATGTGAAAGTGTTGGAGATAATGAAACTTTGACACGAAGATCATCCATCCCCATCACGATGCGTGACATCTTCCCAGAAGACTTCTTCAACTACTCAGTCAAGGCTCCTTGCTATGAAGATTGCGAGGAACGACTCTCTCAGATCGCTTGACGAACCAAAGCTCCTTGTCTGTAAGAGCCTAAACTGCAAGACACAATGCTCCTTGTTCGCACGAGCCTAAACTGTACGAACCAAAGCTCCTTGTCTGTAAGAGCCTAAACTGCAAGACACAATGCTCCTTGTTCGCACGAGCCTAAACTGCACGAACCAAAGCTCCTCGCCTGCATGAGCCTAAACTGCATGGCATAAGGCTCCTTGCCTGCACGAGCCTAAACTGCATGGCACAACGCTCCTGGTCTGCACGAGCATAAAAGGCAACACCAATGTTCCTTGTCTGCACGAGTTGAAACTGCAAATGACACCAACACTCCTTGCCTGCATGAGCTGAAACTGCAAACGGCACAAAAAAGAAAATACCAAAAAAATATATGTATGTATTTGAACTACGTTTCGACTTGATCTCTTTAGAAGGGTACGTAGGCAGCTTGAATATTCAATTTCAAGTTCAGTCACAACAAATAAAAAAATAATAATAATGTTTTATTAGAAAAAAAAAAATACATATGTTTTATGTATTTAAAAAAAAAGGGAATACATACATATATATATGTATGTATATCCATCAGCAGCCAGCCTCTCAAAAGGAGGTCATCCAGGCCCAAGTGGCAGCCTCCAAGCCCAATCCGCGATCAAGTCCAATGCCTGTCTCAAATCTCAGCCGCTCCATCGACGAAGTTGCTCAGTCAGCGACGTGTGCATGGAGGACCCCAACTCAGGGTTTGGGTGGAAACCCTGCCTGTATTTCGCCAGAAGCTACTGCAAGAACGGAGCCAGCTGCAGGTTCTTGCACAGCGGTGGGCTAGGAGACGCCGTCGTCGACGGCAGAGGACAGGTGGTTGTTGGGTCGCCGAGCAAGCTGGAGATGATGGACCATGAAGCGCTTCTCAGATCTAAAACCGCTCAGCAGCAGAGGCTTGCTGCTGCTTCTCAGCTTATGGCAGCGTCAGCCAATTCCTTTCCTTACTCCTCCAAGTGCATGAACTTCCTACTTCAGCAGCAACAAACTGATTCCCAAAGGGCTGCGGCAGCTTCCTTGATGATGGGTGATGATATGCACAAGTTCAGCCGATCCCGCCTCGAAAGATCCGATTTTTCGATGAATGGTGGGGCGGGGATTGTGAACCCGGCTTCAAGGCAGATATATTTGACTTTCCCGGCAAATAGCACTTTCAGAGAGGAAGATGTCTCAAACTATTTCAGCATGTACGGGCCGGTCCAAGACGTGAGAATCCCATACCAGCAGAAGAGGATGTTTGGATTCGTTACATTCTTGTACCCGGAGACGGTGAAGCTGATTTTGGCCAAAGGGAACCCTCATTTTGTTTGTGATGCTAGAGTGCTTGTCAAGCCTTACAAGGAGAAGGGCAAAGCTCATAAAAAGAAACAACAGCAACAAGTGGAAAGAGGAGATTTGTCTCCCTGTGGTACACCTACTGGGCTGGATGGTAGAGACCCTTACGATCTCCAGCTAGGAGCAAAGATGTTTTACAATTCTCAAGACATGCTGTGGAGGAGGAAGCTGGAGGAGCAAGCTGAGTTGCAAGCACTTGAAATTCAAAGTCGAAGACTGATGGGCCTGCAGCTACATGATGTCAAGAAGCATCACCACCACGCTCTTTCTGCCAGCAGTCCGATTCACTCCCCTACCCAGTCTCCCAACATGTTCAGTCGAAACCTAGTGCTTCATTCGGTTCACAACGGCCAAGAAGTTCACCACGATAACTGTTTTTCTCCGATGCCACACTTGACTCCAGCAGTGGATGCTGATCAGTTGCTCAAGGAAGCAGCTGCTGCTGTTCTAGGTAAAGATATGATGGCCAACAACGACTAAAATGGTAGTGGTAGCCGAAGTAGCAATGGTAGTGGTAAGGAGAGCCCCCATGACAATATCGGTGATTTGCTGGAAGGTTTGGAGCACAATCTTCCTGATAGTCCTTTTGCGTCTCCAACAAAGGCTGCCGGAGAGTACACATCCTCCGCCTTCCCCAACGTGACTAGCGAGGCCAATGGCTCAGATGCCTCATTTGCAGCTGCTAACATAAACTTGGCGACTTCCCTACTTCCAGCATCTTCATCCCTGTACATGGCATCCTTCAAGTCTTTCAACTGCCAAATTCCAAGGTTGAACTCCGGTCACGGAGCCATAGGGATGTACGCTGGCACAGGAGCTGGGCCAAAATGCCCTGTTGGAACTTCCTAATCAAAGCTTAATTAGGAGGATCAACATGTTTAAGTATAACAAAACAAAAAACCACCATAAAAAAATCTGTAGAGAATCAAAAGAAATCAAAACCTTCCCCCACCACCATCATCACCGGCACCAGCAGCAGCACCGCACCTCCACTGCAACTCCAGCGAGTTTGGTCTAGATCCATCAACCACCTTCTTTTCTCCTCCAGCGCCGGTTATTTCCGTCCGCGCGGACATGGCTTCGAGAATGCTCAACGGAGCAGTGAGGCTGCCAAGGTAGTTAACGGGTAAGGTGGCAGCTGTGACGGATGTGAATGAGGCTGTACAGCCAGCCAAGGGCGACAGGAATTTGCTGAGGATCTTCTCTCGGTCGGAGCTCCGCGAAGCTTTCAGAGAAAATGCGGACGGTGAGAGTGCAACGGAGCGTGGCGAGAAAGCCTCATTTGCAGCAGACAACCACCCTGGCAATGGGCATCCTTCCATGCAGCGAGCATAGCAAACAGCAACGAGCAGCAGCCACGTCGCCGACTCGTCCTCGTCCTCGTCCTCCTCTGCAAGACCTTTCCTTCTGCCCAGCAAGGATGATCAGCCACGAACTCCACACCTCCGGCTCCCTTTCTCCGTCCACCTCCTTGCTCCGCTCCCTGCAAATCCCCATCCCGTCATCCAAATTTATACAAAAAAATAATAATAAAAAATATATGGTGGAACACTGCACCATGATTAAAGAAAAAAATAAAAAAATAAAATAGAACAATAAAATAATAAAAATGCATGGTGCGTCTGGCACCATATGAAAAAAAGGGGAGGGGTGCATCTGGCACCATAATTAAAGGCCAAAAAAAAAAAAAAAAAAAAAAAAAAAAAAAAAAAAAAAAAAAAAGTTTTTGATCTTTGGTGCGTCTGGCACCATGTGAAGAAAACGGGTGCACCATGATTACCATCTGCAAAAAAATAAAAAAAAAAATAAAAATAAAAATTAAAAAAAATAAATAAATAAATATATATATAATAATAATTATAAAAATAATAATAATAATAAAAATAATAAATAAAAAATTTCTTTATGCTTTTGGCACTAAATATATATATATATACACACACACATAAAAAAGGAAATAAGGCTCATCTATTGATTTCTTGGAAAATTTACAAAAAGTGTACATTTTACATCAGTAAAAAAAAAAAAAAAAAAAAAAAAGTCAAATCAAATTTACAGGAGGGGATCTTCAAGGACGATCAGGTGCCGCCTCACCACTCGGCAGAGCTCCAGAAATGAGAGGCGCCGGAGGTTGATTGTTGGAAGCCACACCACTCGGCGGAACTCCAGGAAGAAGAGGAGCCAAAGGTTGATCATTTGGAGTTTCATTACGCGGTACAGCCCTAGAAGACGAAGGCAAATGCTGCTGGAACAAACCCACAAACCTCCGATGATCAAGTAAAATCTGACCATCAGATTCCTGCATCTGGTCAATTTTCCTCTTCATGTTTGTGGCATAGTTGTGTGCAAGCTTGTGCAACTGTTTATTCTCCTGCTTGAGCCCTCTAATCTCCTGTTTGAGACTCATCACTTCAGCCGCCAATGATTCAACTTGACGGGTTCGAGCAAATAGGCGTTGGGCCATATTAGACACAGAACCTGCACACTGCACACTGAGAGCCAGAGAATCCTTAACAGCCAACTCATCAGACCGTTTGGAAAGTAGTCTGTTATCTCTGGGAGTGACAAGGTTCCGGGCCACCACCGCAGCGGTCATATCATTTTTCATCACCGAATCCCCAACGGTAAGAGGACCAGTAGGGGATATGAAGGATGGGCGCCATATGTTGTCTGGAGAAGGCGGGACTGACTCTTCACCAAGATTCAAGTCAAAACGACGGTCGGAGGGTCCAGACATTTTCAAAGTGTTGAAGGAAGAAGAGATCGGACAAATCAAGATCTTAGAAGTACAAGAGGGGAGTTTTCACAAGCGAAGTGTGCTTTGAAACGAACTGCGTGCCTCTATAAAATCAACACTCGACGGCATTTCAGAGATCGAAGAGGTGAGCTCAGAGTTCGAAAATGCCGATTCAAAAATCGAAGAGGCAAGCTCAGAAATCGGAGAAGCATCTTGCTTTTCCAGACGCGTTAGCACCCGTCACATGCAAACTCAGATTTACGGAAATCACGGGCAATTTGTTAAAGCGCCAATCCCAGATATCGAAGAGGCGCTAGTCTTTTTCAGCCTCGTCAGCACCCGTCACGCGCAAACTCAGCTTTGCGGAAATCACGGGTAATTTGTCGAAGCGCCGATCCCAGATATCGAAGAGGCGCCAGTCTTTTTCAGCCGCGTCATCACCTGTCATATGCACATTCAACTTTGCGCAAATCACGGGTAATTTGTCAAAGATTTTCAGTGAAGGAGAAAGCACGTGAAGTTTACTGTTCAAATCACGCGTTAGTTGCCGACACGAGTGAAAGAATAATACCTCTACAGGTATTAAGGGACCTCCTATAACTGTCCACCTTCACCTTCCATAGCAAGGCAGACATACAGAGCCTTTCTTCATCTCCAAAAATGCTTTCCCAACGAAACCTCTCGAGTCATTCAGTGTTCCTTATTCCTTGGGGTACCTCTGCAAGCCAATGACTCCAAAGCAAAAGTATCTCATATCACCAGGGTAGAAAGCAAGAGTATCTCATATCATGCGTTCTCCCTGTCCTTTCCTTTGTCCTTGTTCTTACCTACAAAGACAAGGATAAAGAAAACAATATGTCGGAACTTCCACTCAAACTCGGGTAAGGAACCGACTGCTTGGAACCCTTCCCTGATTGCCTACCTAGCACTGCTCTCGAGTACTCGTTTCCCACTGCTGCTGTACTTCCAAAGAAGTTGCCCCATCTGCCTGGAGAACAGATAATGCAAGTGAAAATGATACCTTGCAGCATGTGGAGACAAGGTGCAGAAGGAACAAGCAGAGAAGAATGCAGTCTGCACAGTCAACTCAGGAGAAGGAGTCCGAGCTGAAGAACTCGAGAAGCTGCCATATCTGCCTGAAGAAACAAGCAGAGAAGAATGCAGCATGCTCAGTCAACTCGGCGGAAAGAGTCTGAGATGAAGAACTCGAGAAGCTGCCATATCTGCCTGAAGAAACAAGCAGAGAAGAATGCAGCATGCTCAGTCAACTCGGCGGAAAGAGTCTGAGATGAAGAACTCGAGAAGATGCCACATCTGCCTGAGGAACAGATAAAGGAAATGAAGATGATACCTTGAAGCATGTGGAGACAAGTGCAACCAAGCACGTGCCGATTCATCCGCTACTTCTTCAAAAGCAAGAGTATCTCATATCATCAAAGTTGCAATCACTCTGACGGTGAATTCGTTTTGACCCTCAAATTCTTGGGTCGACTTACTAGGCGTTGTAGGCTGCACGTGCCGATTCACCACCCTTGAATCAAATCCTTAAAGATCAAGTCACCAACTGGAAAGAAAAGCCCATCAATCTTGAAGATCATACCGTTGACCAAACTGCTCAGGTGTGAATTAGAAAGATTGAACAGAGAACAACAAGTCGTCACCTTCACCTAGTGCCTGCTTGTCAATCAGTGTCAACCTTCAAGGATCAAGCCCTAACGGCCCTTGAAGAAGTTTCCAACCAAATTCAAGATCAAGCCTCGACGGCCCTTGAGGAAATCACACAAGTCCGATTCAAGATTAAGTGTCTACCACCCTTGAATCAAAACCTAGTTCAAGAATAAGCTGTGGAAAATCAACAATTGGAGGAATCCAGAAAATCCTCCAACCCAGTTCAAGATCAAAGCTGTGTGGAAAGTCAACAAGCGCAACAAAATACGTACCGATTCATCCATTACCAAAGCCAAAGATCATCTACCACATGAAGCTCCTTGTGGCCCAATTTTCAACCTTCAAGATCAAGCCTCGACGGCCCTTGAAGAAATTTCAAAACAAAAGTTCAAGAACAAGCCTCAACGGCCCTTGAAGAAATCTCAAGCCCAATTCAAGATCAAGCCTCAACGGCCCTTGAAACAATCTCCAGCCCAATTCAAGATCCATCAAGCCTCGATGGCCCTTGGATCGACATCTACAGTAAGGGACTTCAAAAACGCATCTCCTACACGTGACAAGCACATGTATACGACGTGCCTTGAAGTGGGGGCATTTGTAGACATCGAAATTTCGTAAATAAATGTTGACCGGTAAATCAAAGTGTCAACGCTCATGTATTACATAAATTTTACACGTAGCGTGTGACTCAACGAAAATTGAAATGAGTTGGAAAAGTCATCAAATAGGACACGTGTCAACACCTGGCAGAAACGACTTATTTCATCTGGGATATTATATTCAAAATTAGGCCTTGGAAAATTCTATAAATACAAGCCTATTTCATTCATTTTAAAGAAACCAATTCACATTACACCTTAAAGCTCGGAAGCTCTGAAGCTCTGAAACTCCGAAGCTTTCAAGCATCCAGGTTTCCGAAGAATCAAGAAAGCCTTCTTCGTTCTTCGTTCATCGTTCTTCCAAGATCAAGCCCCGACGGCCCTTGGATCAACAATCATCCACCTTCAAGCCCAAGCCTCAACAGCCCCTTGGAGAAAGTGTTCATCGTTCATCAACTGTTCATCCTCAAGGATCAAGCCCCAACGGCCCCCTTTGGATTGACAACATCAACGAATCCGCTCATCTCTGTTCATCAAGTCCAAGCCTCGACGGCCCTTGAAGAAAGCGTTCATCGTTCATCACCGTTCTTCGAGATCAAGCCCAAAAGCCCTCGAAGATCCGTTCAAGCCCAAAAGCTCTCGAAGATCCGTTCGTCACTGTTCTTCGAGTTCAAGCCCAAAAGCCCTCGGAAATCCATTCATCAACTGTTCATCCTCAAGGATCAAGCCCCAACGGCCCCTTTGGATTGACAACATCAACGAATCCGCTCATCTCTGTTCATCAAGTCCAAGCCTCGACGGCCCTTGAAGAAAGCGTTCATCGTTCATCACCGTTCTTCGAGATCAAGCCCAAAAGCCCTCGAAGATCCGTTCAAGCCCAAAAG